AGGAGGGATGCAGAGCGAGAGAGAGGAGGGATGCAGAGCGAGAGAGAGAGAGAGAGAGAGAGAGAGAGAGAGAGAGAGAGAGAGAGAGAGAGAGAGAGAGAGAGGGAGAGAGAGAGAGAGAGAGAGAGAGAGAGAGAGAGAGAGAGAGAGAGGGAGAGAGAGAGAGAGAGAGAGAGAGAGAGGGGGGGGGGGGGGGGGGGGGGGGTGCAGAGCGAGAGAGAGGGGGATGCCGAGAGAGAGAGGGGGGGATGCAGAGCGAGCGATAGGGGGATGCCGAGCGATAGGGGGATGCCGAGCGAGAGAGGGGATGCTCTCACTCCACTCCCCCTCCCCTGCTCTCACTCCACTCCCCCTCCCCTGCTCTCACTCCACTCCCCCTCCCCTGCTCTCACTCCACTCCCCTTCCCCTGCTCTCACTCCACAACCCCCCCCTGCTCTCACTCCACTCCCCCTCCCCTGCTCTCACTCCACTCCCCCTCCCCTGCTCTCACTCCACTCCCCCTCCCCTGCTCTCACTCCACTCCCCTTCCCCTGCTCTCACTCCACTCCCCCTCCCCTGCTCTCACTCCACTCCCCCTCCCCTGCTCTCACTCCACTCCTCTTCCCCTGCTCTCACTCCACTCCCCCTCCCCTGCTCTCACTCCACTCCCCCTCCCCTGCTCTCACTCCACTCCCCTCCCCTGCTCTCACTCCACTCCCCCTCCCCTGCTCTCACTCCACTCCCCTTCCCCTGCTCTTACTCCACTCCCCCTCCCCTGGTCTCACTCCACTCCCCCTCCACTGCTCTCACTCCACTCCCCCTCCCCTGCTCTCACTCCACTCCCCCTCCCCTGCTCTCACTCCACTCCCCCTCCCCTGCTCTCACTCCGCTCCCCCTCCCCTGCTCTCACTCCGCTCCCCCTCCCCTGTTCTCACTCCACTCCCCCTCCACTGCTCTCACTCCACTCCCCCTCCCCTGCTCTCACTCCACTCCCCCTCCCCTGCTCTCACTCCACTCCCCCTCCCCTGCTCTCACTCCACTCCCCTTCCCCTGCTCTCACTCCACTCCCCCTCCCCTGCTCTCACTCCACCCCCCCTCCCCTGCTCTCACTCCACTCCCTCTCCCCTGCTCTCACTCCACTCCCCCTCCCCTGCTCTCACTCCACTCCCCCTCCCCTGCTCTCACTCCACTCCCCTTCCCCTGCTCTCACTCCACTCCCCCTCCCCTGCTCTCACTCCACTCCCCCTCCCCTGCTCTCACTCCACTCCCCCTCCCCTGCTCTCACTCCACTCCCCCTCCCCTGCTCTCACTCCACTCCCCCTCCCCTGCTCTCACTCCGCTCCCCCTCCCCTGCTCTCACTCCGCTCCCCCTCCCCTGCTCTCACTCCAGACCCCCTCCCCTGCTCTCACTCCACTCCCTCTCCCCTGCTCTCACTCCACTCCCCCTCCCCTGTTCTCACTCCACTCCCCCTCCCCTGCTCTCACTCCACTCCCCTTCCCCTGCTCTCACTCCACTCCCTCTCCCCTGCTCTCACTCCACTCCCCCTCCCCTGCTCTCACTCCGCTCCCCTTCCCCTGCTCGAACCCCTCACTCCCCCCGTGCTCTCACACCTCTCTCCCTTCCCTGCTCTCACTCCTCTCTCCTTCCTTTCTCCCCTTGCCTCACTCCCTCCCCTTCTTTCCTTCCCTTCTCTCCTTCCCGTGTGCTCTCGCCTCTCTCCCTCCCTTCCCCTCATGCCTCACTCCCTCTCTGCTCTCACGCCTCTCTCCCTCTCCTTATCACAATCCTCACTTTTTCCCATGCATTCACGCCTCCTCCCCTCTCCTGCCCTCACGCCTCTCCCCCTCCCTGCGCTCCCTCCTCTCCCCCTCCCGCAGCGGGCCTCTTTCCGTTCGCTGCTGTGTCGCCACTTTCCCTTCCCTGCGCTCACTCCTCACTCAGCGTGGGAAAGCGGGGAACGAGGAAAAGCGGGAAGCGGGAAGCGAGGGAAAGTGAGCCCGCGAGAGGTAGCGGGGAGCGGGAGAGCTTGGGAAAACGGGAAGCGTAGGAAAGCGCGTAGCGGGTAGCTTGGGAAAGCGGGATGCAGGGAGGGAGGGCAAGCGGGCAGCTGCTAAACGGTCCTGGAGCATACAGAGGTAAGCGACTCGCGATCAAACGCGGGACGCGGGAGCGCGGTAAGCTGGATGCGACATAAAGCGAGGGGAAGCCGGGAAGTGTTGAAGCGAGGGAATGCGGGAAGCGTGGGAAAAGCGTGTAGAGGGAGAAAGCGGGAAGCGGGTCAGCGAGGGAAGTCGGGAAGTGGAAGCTAGACAAATAGGGAATCGGAAGCGTCGCAAATCGGGACGCGAGGGAAAGCGGGGAGTCAGGGAAAGCGGGAAGCGAGAAGCGGGGGGAAGCGGGTAGCGTGACACATGAGAAAGCGGGAAGCGGGACGCGAAGCCTAGCGGGAAGCGGTTCGCGAGGGACCGCCTACGAGCGGAAGGTTCGGACTGGCGGGAAGAGGTTTATTCCGAACCTATTTCGCCCTAAATGAACGCATGATCGTGCTTCCAATGGACGGCCCGTGACCTAGCTTGCCTCCGCGTGCGGTTAGGACACATAGTCCTAGGAAAATACGAGTGGGAGAATGGCTTTTCCTGGGTCCCAATTTACAGATTTGCTATCATTCTTCCCTTGGTCGTTTTTGGGAGTAAGGGTGAGGGCTGTGGGTTGGGCCTCGGCGATTGTCGTTAATTGGCTTCGACCAATCACATGGCCCCCTTTGACCCCTGTCCTGAGTTGGTCAATTCCCTCCAGGGTGAATGGGGTTACCCTTTTTTTTGCGCCCCGACTTTGCTAGCAAATCCAACCGCATCTTGTAACTTGAGACCTGGGCTTTAAGAATGTTATGTTGGGTACGTATGTTTATTTTGTGTAAGGAGGCCTAGTAGCAGTTGTACTCAATTAGTGTATTGCTGTTGACTCGCTACCCCGATCTTGTCGCTCGTTGACCCTAGGTTTTCGCCGCTTCCAGAAGGTATCGACGCGCGGCGACGAGAATTCAAAAACATGTCATTTTCGGTCAGAAGTCGTAGCCAATGGGAAAAGGCAGTCGCGCGAAATGCCCACATGCATGCTTGAATCGCCGCCTCATCACGAGCAGCGGAGCTGATGACGACAGCCATGCGAATTTCGCGTGGGCAGAATTTACAACGTCGGGCAGAGACTTGACAAAACTTCGCGACTACCTCCAAGTCCCACGCCCAAGCAAGCAGCCTTCCCTCCCTCCCGCGCCCAAGCAAGCGGCCTTCCCTCCCTCCCACGCCCAAACCACATCCCCCGTTTTGAATCCCTCCAGCCATACACCCAGCCAACTCTGCCTACAAATCTGCAACCCCTGGAGTCATTTTTTCTTGTCCTAGATTGCTTCCGCACTCTCGTTTCTAGCTTTCAGATAGTCTCACTTCCAGTCTCCTCCTGAAGTATCACCGCCATGGCCTCAGTATCCGAGTACCCGTCGTTTCTCGATGCACTTAGCTTTTGGGAAGTCGTAGTTGCGAGAAACAAACGGAAGCTCTGCTGCTGCTGCGGAGCTCTTCCCGTCGTAGTTGCTGAGTATCTGTCCGGCTGGCAGCCTCGCGTCCTGCTGCAGCGAGTTGAGCGTCTCGATGTTCTTCCGCGCCAAATCCAGCGTTAACAGCATCGAAGGCATCGAGAGCATCGACGACGCCAGCCGCAGCGACGCCTGTCCTTCTGACGCTACCGTGACAGCATCGCTGCCAACGCTACTAGAGGCTCCAGCGGCGACGGCGAAACAAGCGACCCGACATTTGACGGCACCTGGTTCAGCGGCGTCAGGTCCGGCGGCGTCAGACCCGGCGTCTTCAGTGAAAACGACGCCAAATCAGACAAAGTCTATGAAGCTGCGAAGAAGCTGCGGAGTGGATCGTCTTTCAAGGTGCTGCTGGCATGAAGTTCTAGGCGGCCATGGCGGCCACAAGAGGTGCTGTGGCTGGCTGCAAGCTCAAGGCTGCTGATATACCATGTCTCGACTCGAGTAATGAGGACCAGTAGAGCAAGGAAGGCATCAGCGGGATCAAGGGATGGAGAGCACAGAATGAGAGCTGCAGGCAGAAAGCAGCAGTCGAGAAGTTGCTGGGGGGTTGGGGAGGTGGGATGATGGTGGGACCCTTTTTTGCACCCTGCTCGTCAGGGTGTTGGGAGAGTGGGTTGAGAAACTGGTGGGGGTTAGAAGATTGGTGAACTGCTACTATGCTGCTGAGGTTTGATTGCTCTCCTGAAGGAATGGCATCAAGCCTAGTGCGCTCCCGAAGGGCTGGCTCTGGTCTGGTGCGCTCCTGAAGGGATGGCTCTGGAATGGTGCGCTCCTGAAGGGATGGCTCTGGTCCGGTGCGCTCCCAAAGGGATGGCTCTGGTCCGGTGCGCTCCCCAAGGGATGGCTCTGGTCCGGTGCGCTCCCAAACGGATGGCTCTGGTCTAGTGCGCTCCTGAAGGGATGGCTCTGGTCTGGTGCGCTCCCAAACGGATGGCTCTGGTCTCGTGCGCTCCCAAACGGATGGCTCTAGTCTGGTGTGCTCCCAAAGGGATGGCTTTGGTCCGGTGCGCTCCCAAAGGGATGGCTCTGGTCCGGTGCGTTCACAAAGGGATGGCTCTGGTCTGGTGCGCTCCCGAAGGGATGGCTCTGGCCTGGTGCGCTCCCTAAGGGATGGCTGTGGTCTGGTGCACTCCCAATGGGATGGCTCTGGTCGGCTGTGCTCCCGGAGGGATGGCTGTGGTCTGGTGCGCTCCCCAAGGGATGGCTCTGGTCCGGTGAGCTCCCATAGGGATGGCTCTGGTCCGGTGCGCTCCCGTAGGGATGGCTCTGGTCTAGAGGATGGTGCTAGCATGGTGTGATGTTGAAACTTGTCACTGGTTGTTGCTATGAAACTCACTGCAGTGCCCGAAATTCACTGCAGTGCCCGCGTACCATTATTGAAAGCATACCACTGCCGTGGATGTGGGGAAAACACAGTTTGTGTCTGAAGTCCAAGCACATACGGTATCAAGTGATCAAGGTCCTCAACAATCTTGGGAACCAGGAAGTGCTGAAGACATACGAAGTGCAGCGACGTTCAAACATGCACCGTAGTTAGACCTGCTAGACTAGGGTTCAGCAGCTCACACGCTAGATGCTGTCGAGCAGTATTGGTTGGTTGGGCAGTCCATCTATTTACAGGACATCACAAACTCTTCAACTACCACTACGTGCTCTGTGCTCCTTGCTCTTACGGCAATGCTGAGACACACAGAGGCCTGTGCTATGGTAGCAGGCAAGGCACTTGGCATGTTGCATCATCTGGGCCTTACAGCTTGCCCTCCGCAACAGCATTCCTGAATTCCATGTAGATCCCTTTAAACAGCCCTTTCAAGTCGCCTTCACTTACGGCTGCCTGTACTGCCTCTGCCAAGCCCGGTATTGAAGGGTCACTGCTCACCACTGCACTTGTTGCATTGGTAAAAGCAGACGAAAAGCCGGGATGGAGAAGTTCAACGGATGGAAGAATTGATCATTGGTGGCAAGGGGGGTTGGGTTGGGGGAGGGAGGGGGGGGAAGATGCAGGCACTTTTGATGTGAACAGCAGATATTATGCAGTACAGGCACCCTCCATCACCGATCCACATACCTTGAATGCCTTTGTCCCTGTCACCCCCCATATCCAACAAGGCAATGAACTGCCTGTCGGGCATCAGGGGATCAATCTTTGTGAAGGTCATCCGGAGCAAACCCTCTGAAGGCAAGGGAAATAATGGAAAGCAGAAAGGAAGTGAATGACTAAGCGTGAGTAAGTGGGTGCATGCGTGTAAGTGTGTGTGCGCATGAGAGCGAGAGAAAAACAAGAGGAGGGGGGAGAGAAAAGGAGATAGGGGATTGGGGGGGGGGAAGAAGGGGGGGGGGGAGTTTGCAAAAAAGGGATCTGCAGGATGCTTATCACAAAGCAGAAACGAAGACGTACGGAGAACACACCAGGAGTGGGGTCAAAGCGGAGGCCAAAGGCTTCCCTGAACTTGGTCACAGCTGACAGCAGGGCGTCAATGCGCTGCTGGCGAATCTCCTCCTCGTTCTTGAGTGCTGCACACAAAAAATAGAGAGACGAATCAAGGTGTATAAGAAACGGGCGGTCATATGCTGCCGTACTAACCGCCTGAGCCATACAACCACAGCCATACTACTACCCACTTTCCCGCACTCCGCTCACCGTCATCCTCTGCCTGCACGTCTGCCTCCAATTCCGCAACGAATTCCTCCGCCTGCTGCAGCTGGGGTTCCAACGATGCCTTCTCCAGGCCTAGCCTTGCCATGCCCTCACACTGGCGGTCTAAATCATCATTCTGCTGAGCTTGCTCTGGGGTGAACGGAGAGGGCGGAAAGGAACACGAGATGGAGAGCGTGACCATGGCAGGAGGGTGGAGGGATGAGAAACGGCGTGGAGAGGAGAAGCAAAGAGATGCACAAATTGGAGAGGGTAGGGAGAGTGAGCAGCAGGGAACGACATTTCGCATCTCGCAACATGTCCTCGCCATGGGACGAAACGCTCCCGACGTGTTTGGAAATGCGGAAGGAGGCAAATCTACGGGCTTTATTTGCGTACGCTTCAAGAGCATCTGCTCTTCGGCTAGAAACTCCTGCTCCAGTTGCCTCAGCTCGTTCAGCTTATCTGCAATCAGCTCACAACAACAGCACAGCGAGGAAAAAGCACGACGCCTCAGTACAATTCTCATGCTAGCCAGAATATACATCCACAGCACTTAGCGTGACTGTTCAGAAAGGGCGATCTAGGTTTGGAGCTATGGGAATCTAAGCACTAACGGTTCACCTTGTGTCGTACGCACTCTCGCCGAATCCCGTCGCACGCCCTCTTGGTGCGCCGCGATCTGTTTCTCAGCCCATGTGGAAACGTCTGACTTGAAATCTCGCAGTTCCTTCTCTAGCTGATCAACATGTGCGTCAGTAAGAATCTCCGTTTCATCTTTGCCAAACGACGCCATTGAGCTGAGGATGGTTACTTATCCGATCTGACTCGGTCGAACTCGGTCAGATCCGGGGCATGCTACCTACAGCTGGAGACAAACGAGCTGATGCCGCCTGCACGACCTTGGTCAACTAGTACAGAGAAAGGCACAGATTTGTCGACGAATACATAGTGGTCGCGGTACGACTGACAGGCCGGTTGGACAATGCCCAAGGTGGGAAAAGCGATGCGGAGGAGCCGTGGGATCAAGCTCAATCACCAACAGATGTACGCCAGGATTCATCGCGAGCACGCACAGTCTAGGGTGCGGAGGTATTTGCTGCTTGCCAAGATCTCGTGCAGGCGAGAAACAAATTGCGATAAATTTGCGAAAGTAACTACCTCGTGACGAACCGAAATCCCACGCATTTTGTTACTGATGCTGGTGCTTCGTCTGACATCCTTGACCACACATCCTTCAGCCCTTTCCGCCTTCGAAACGGTAGCTTCTTGCCAGTGACTTGATTGTTGTTTCTGTTGTTGTACTTACTAAAGCAGAAACACATCTTCTGTCTTCCTAAAGTTGACTATCATAGTTCCATTGTAGGGTGTACATTCCTGATAGCCGTCGCCATGGATACATCTGGTTTCAACTTGACCATAGGAAATGATACGGGTGCCAGCGTAACTCCGAGTGCAAACGACACGGACGTTAGCATTTTCACGACGGGATTGGTTCCATGCGGTCAAATCCCCGTTCCGATGGCTCCAAAAGGCGCATCTTACGTAGCTAGCGTCTCGTTGCTGGTCCAGCTGGTTATGCTAGCGATCGCCCTTTTGGTGGGTCACGGTCTCAGAAGAAAGAAGATTGTTATAATTCCCGAAGCGGGCGCGGCATTAGCTTTTGGTATGCCTATTACCGTGGATTGAGCTGTCGGTCGTTGAATGCGTTACTTGAAATTTGTCAAATTCCACAGGAGTAATAGTGGGATTGGTTGTGAAATTCCTTCGACATGGGTCGGAATTCAGGTGAGTCAGCACTCATTGCGTTCGTTCGATTCAAGCCGTGCATACTCTGACAACTTCTGTCTTTGCAGAGAATGGATAAACTTCAACAACAACTTCTTCTTCTATTTCCTGCTGCCGCCGATTATATTATATCCTTTCACGTCCCCTCCTCTCTTCTTCGTCTGTAGCCCCTAGATTTGTTCGTTTTCCATCTCCCTCCCCACTTATCCTCCTCCTTTCTTCGGCCTGCTCCGTCAACTTACGCACGCATGTTCTTCCCGTCCTTTCTTAGGCTCCACTTTTTCTTCCATCGCTTCATATGTGTCCACCATTTTCTGAATTGTGATTGCATAAAACCAGTTTTCCTTAACCGTCTTTTTTTCCTTTCCACTGAGTCGGGATGGAGCTTGAAAGCGGTATGTTTTTGTGGTTAGTTAGTTCATTCACACTGGCCGCCAGTCACTAACATGCAATGACTGATTCCAGAAAACATTCTTTGGCAACTTTGGAGCGATTTGTACCTTCGCCTTTGCTGGCACGCTCATATCAACATTGGTTGTGGGCTGCTTCATGTAAGCACGTGGATTGCTCAGTCAGCATCTGTGTTCGCTATTTGTGCATCTCTAACGAATATCATTCGTCTGATCACGGGGCTGTTGGCAATGTTCCTTGGCAGGTATTTTGTTGGACTGCTACATGCTGCTCACGCTATGCCTATCATGGTGTGCCTTACATTTGGCGCTTTGATATCAGCAACTGATCCTGTATCAGTGCTTGCCGTTTTCCAGGTATGACTTTGCAAGTTGATACCTGAAATCCTCATTTTGCTGTATCCAATTTCATGAGCGTTGTTGTGCCTTTGCAGGAATTGGGTGTAGACCGCACACTTTACGCCCAAGTTTTTGGAGAATCCGTACTGAATGATGCGGTAAGCTGCACCCGAAGTGGAATCCTTGAACCTGGAAATCAGAAGCTAATCCCAGAATCTGTTCCTTTTTTCAGGTTGCAATAGTACTTTACAGGACCTTGTTGTCATTTGTGACGACCAAGGTTGACGGCAGGGGAATATGGTTTGCGATCTCATTTTTCCTTGCTAATTTCATTGGCTCATTCTCAATCGGTAAGTCTACTTTCAGCTACCTCTTGTTGTTGACTTAGTGTCTGCAATCAGGTGCTAAAGCGTGTTGGTTGTTTTGCAGGAGTCATCTTGGGGTTGTTGAGTGCCCTTGTCTTCAAGCATTGTGGTTTCGAAGATGACGGGTAAGACTAGCACACAACTTTTCTGTCTCAAATTCCCCATTGGGCTGCGTGCTGACCTGCTGCTGCTTTGTGCAGTCTCGCTCTGCTTCAATCCTGCCTGCTTTCCCTGTTCCCCTACATGGCATACATGCTTGCTGATGCTTTCGAACTGTCTGGAATTGTGTCCATCCTCTTTGCGGGAATGGTAAGTTTGTGCGTTTGCAACCTTATTTCTCCTAGAAGGCTCACTGACTGCATCAAACGTTCCAGACAATGAGATACTACACGGCTCCTCATCTTAATGAGAAAGCACTGGCCACAACAAGCAGCTTCTTCTCCATCCTCGCAAAGTTATCTGAAACCTTTGTGTAAGGCGTTTCCATTTTGTGCTGTTTTGTTTATGTCAGCAAGCTCTTGCTGATTAACTTTCTCTTTGCAGTTTCATATACATGGGAGTTGCTGTATTCTTGGAAAAACAAAGCTGGAGAAGCTACAGCTTTACACTATATGCTATTGTAAGTGGTAGTGATTTCATTTGTTTTTTGTTGCTTCACTCTTTTCTCTGACCTGACAAGACATATTCCGTGTGTTGCAGCTTGCTATATTTATTGCAAGGTACCCTTGGCACTTTTTAACTTTAATGCCTTCACCTATATTAGTGTTTGCTAATTGTGACATTCTCCTGCAGGGTTTTCAACATTTATCCTCTTGCATACATCGTCAATGCCTTTCGTCAGAAACAGAACAGAATACCCATGAATCATCAGCATGCCTTGTGGTTCAGCGGTATGTCGTACTTGACATAGCTGTAAAAGGGTTATCACGACCATCTTTGCGACATGAAGCTGACACATGTTCAACTTCCTCCAGGGCTTCGTGGAGCCATGGCCTTTGCACTCGCTTTACAGTCTATTACAGATCTTCCTGAGGACTATGGTCGTGTAATCTTGACTTCAACGTTGCTGACAATTGCATTCACTGTGAGTGTATGCTTGAGATTTCACGGTTGCAATCCAGTGGGTACAAAGATTCTGGATGTTTGAGTCCTGTCAGGCCTACTTCAATGATCTATTACACTGGCATCTGATGCACAGGTATTGTTTATTGGTGGCGCGACATCCCACATGCTTTCATGGCTGAAGATTGAATGCAGCGGGCCAATAGAGCATAACGATCAGGTAAGATCTTTCCTTCTTTGCGCAGTTGTATGGCTTGCCATTTCTGGTCGATTCTGATACTGTTCTAAACTCGGCAGGATCCACAAGATGGCGGGGAAATCATGTTAACTCAAACACCTGACAAACCCCAGAGCAATTTGAAGAAGAAATTTCAGCAGCTGAAGGATAAGTAAGGCTGGAACTTGTCGTGTCAAGAAATGTCAAGGTGCTGGCTACTAATCACTTCTGGTTGCATCGCAGGGCTAGCTTCGCTTCTCTCGACAAGAACTTTTTGACCCCAATATTTGCAACACCATCTCGCTCACATCTGCGGCTTGCGGAGCTCGATCAAAACAGTACGCCTCCTCAAGCACACCGCCCATCCACTTCTTCAGCTGATGGTGAGCTGTGAACTTGTTTATTTGATGCTCACTTGTTGTGATTCTCAAATGAACCTTAACCCCAAAACTTCGCATCCTTGTGCATGGATATAAAACGTGCAATGTCTGGACTTGGCATGAGAGATTGTTGTGTGTGATATTGAGTGTGTCACTCCCTGTGTTTGCTGGTTTGTGATATTTCTGACATGATTCATCTTGTGGCTGCAGGCACAGAAAGGAGGGCTATGGAGAATGAGCTCTTTCCTGTGGATGAATTGTTTCCGACTACTGATGATACCGGTAGTGTGACAGTTCCATTGGCCACTGCTCTTTCGTTGCCCGTGGAGGGAGGTCACCTCAGTCGGCGTGCAAGTGCCAACAGTCAGCAAGGGGGATGACTTGTGTGATGTCCTTGGTTGGGAGTTGAGATGACTTCAAAATCGTGTACAGATTAGTGTTGCTGGCTATAGCATGATCATTATATTCTTAATGCACCAAATCAGGCTTCACAGGAACATCATGTGCAGGGTGTGCACTGTGCAACCAGTTCTGCTCCATGCAGCAAAAATAATTCCACCCAGATTAAGTTGGAGTGCTTGCTGACATCTGGTAAGCATGATTGATCCCCTAACAATACCCACTGTGTGTCATGCAAAAGCAGCACATTCCAATCACACATCGCCGGCCTTAACTACAACAGTGTAGTTGCGGCGTGGATCAAAGTAGCGGCGGTAGACAAAGAAGCCACCACCAAGCAGCAGTGCAGCGAGGGCTGTGATGGCTATGAAGGCCATCCAGCCAGTCAGCACCAGCGTAGAGCCTTCCTGCTGCTCCTCCGCCTCAGCCTGAGCCACCAGCTGGATCTGGAGGGTGGGAAAATGACAGGGAGAGAGAAAGACGACAAACACTCGAATTATGTTGGAAGAGGGAAGGGAGGGTGGGGGGGATATGAGGGCAGTAGGGAAGGGGGGGAGAGGAGGGTGGGGTTTTATGAGGAAAGTAGTCGAGAAAATGAGCACCTTGAAACAGATCCAGTCATAACCCACCTCTGCGATCTTGGTAAGCGTGTCTTCCAGCTGGTTCTCATTCACCACGCCTCCCACATGCCCGCCACTGCCCGCCACCACGCCCACCAGCTGCCGGCACTGCTTGTCAGAGATCTTAGTGAGAGGCGTGTCCACCAGGCACTGCCCGAAACTTCCCATCACCGGGCCCTTGTGCTCGCTGCCCTGTGGCACGTGGGTGCTGTTGCAGAGGGCATCGATGTCAGCGTGGCAGGGCTTGGTGAGGCCGGCATTGCTGTGGTACATCCAGAGGGCATTGCGCACCACATAGGTCACCTGGGGATGGGGTTGGTGTGGAGAGGGAGTATTGGGAGAGGGAGGAAAGCGAGCGGCTGATAGCGCTGTGGCATGGCTTGGTGAGGCCGGCGTTGCTGTGGCACATCCAGAGGGAATTGTGCACCGCGTAGTTCACCTGGGAGTGGGAGAAGTGTGACTGTGGAGAAGGAAAGAAGATGAAAGGTCAATCTTGGTGTGGCACAGCTGGGTGAGGGCGGTGTTGCTGTGGTACACCACAGAGCATTGCACACCACATAGGTCACCTGGGAGTGGGAGGGTTGTAGAGGGAGAGTGGGTAGTGGGAGGGACAGGAAAGGCGGATGTCAGGATAGCATGGCGCTGTGAGGGCCACATTGCTGTGGTACTTCCAGAGCTGCTAAGCGATGCACTACCTCTTGTGTCTCTTCCCACCTCTGTCTTGCACCCAGGCTTGAGCGTCTGATCTGGCACCCCTTTGACACACCCATACCTCTTCCTCCTCTCACCACTGAGCCAGGCTTGAGCGTCTGGTCTGGTATGGCTGCAGCAGGCAGCGCAGAATAGGCCCATAGCCGCCCTCCACCTCCTCGACTCGAGAGGCATCGCTCTCTGCGTCAGCCTCGCTGCGCTTGTCTACCACACCTTCCTATGGAAGCTACTGCGTCGCTCCTCACCTCGGACTGACACCCGGGCTACAGCAGCAGGCAGCGCAAGCTCGGCCCATAATCTCCCTCCACCTCCTTACCCAGTGACTGACGTGTCACTCTCCTCCTCTTGTACTTGTCTGCCACGTCAGCTTCGCACTCCAGCTGCAAGGCAGCGCATCCTCGAAACCCACCTGTCTTTTCGACACCCCTGGACAGGACAACCCTTGAGCCTCTGCTCACCTCTGACTGGCAGCCGGGCTTGAGCGTCTGGTACGACTGCAGCAGGCAGTGCAGGATGGGCCCGTAGTCTCCCTCCACCTCCTCACCCAGTGACGTGTCACTCTCCGCATCCACCTCAGCACACTTCTCTGCCACGTCAGCATCGCACTGCAGCTGCAGGGCAATGTCGGTGCGGTAGTACTGCGACTGGCGCATGGTCTGGAGGTCCACCTCAGCGCGGCATGCGACGCTCATGCCGGACTGAAGGGGAGTTAAGGGGATGAAGAGGGACAAAGAGTGGGGTGAGCACATGACTGGGCTAGCTCTGCAGCTGAAAGGCTATGTTGGTGCCGTAGTATTGGAACTGGCGTGGTCTGTATGTCCACCTCAGCACGGCACGCCAAACTCATGCCAGACTGTTGGTTGGGGATGCGAAGGAAGAAGGGGAGAGGGATGAGGAGGAGGAAAATGGAGAAGGAGAGAGGGAAAGGGGAGAAAGAGAAAGGGGAGCACCGCAGCTGCAGCACTGTGTCGGTGCGGTGGTACAGCAACTGGCGCATGGCCTGTGTCGATTGAAGGCCCTATGTTATGTGCCATGCTTATTAGCATGGTGTAAGCTACAAGGCCAAACTCCATGGGCCCAACTCCATGGCATGGGCCCAACTCCACGGGCCCAACTCTACGGGCCCAACTCCATGGGCCCAACTCCGCGCGCCCAACTCCATGCGCCGCACTTACTAGAAACTAACGGCCCTCACCTCCTGGATGTGCCACTGAAGACAGCGGAAGGCATGGCCGCCCATGGGAGGCACACCGCGGCAGAACTGGTGCAGCTCCAAGCCACACGCGTTCATGAGGGTGGGGGTGAGGCGGATGTCAGACGCCTGGAGGAGAGGGAAAAAGGGGAGAGGAAAGGCCGGACGAGATGGACCGCATGCATTGGTGGGTATCACAGCGCTGCTGCAGCCTGCAGCTCCATACCACAGGTGTTCATGACATGGGCGCTGGGGTGAGATGAGACGGATGCCAGCCCCTGGGAGGGTGGAGGGACAAATGCAACGAGAGAGGGGCATGAAGCGCCAAACGTGAAGGGGGCTGCTGCGGCTCATGGCCACAGGCAGGCATTTATTCACGTGGGGGTGAGACGGATGTCAGCCGCCTGGCGATATGCGAGAAGGGAGAGCTAGGGATGACTACTGGAGACAACACATGCTGGCTGGTGCATGTGTATGTGAATAATTTAGTGCAAGTCGTCCTGCACTCACCCGAGCCACCTCCATTGCGCTGAACCTGAGCTCCTCAGCCTTGCGCCTTTTGAGGCGCCTCAAAGGCCTTGCGCCTGGGCGACAGCAATAGCTTCTTCCTCGTCTGCCGCAGGCACGCCAGCAAGCGGCTGTGACCCCGACCAGCGTAGCACTATATCACCGCAATGAACCACACTGAACCACGGCCATATGAGTACCCACCACTCCATGGCAATGAAGTGCAGCTCCTCGGCCTTGCACTTGGGGGAGAGCTTCTTCCGGTTCTGCCTGAGGCACGACAGCTTGTGGCTGTGGTCGCGACTAGTCATATGGCATCACATGAGCGCATCACTGCACTGAACCGCACTGAACCACACCCACAGCCATATACCCACCTCCATGGCGCTGAACCGCAGCTCCTCCGCCTTGCATTTCTGCGAGAGCTTCTTGCGGTTCTGCCTGAGGCACGACAGCGTGCGGCTGTGGTCGCGACTAGCGTACCCCGCACCCGCCCCACAGTACATGTCAGCATCGTCCTTGCACGCTTGCTGCAGGGGCACGTCGAGCGCAGGGTCCTCCACCGTCCTGCAAAGAGACAAGGACCGGAAGAGAGAGAACTGTTAACAGGGGCAGCAGACCCCCTCAGCCCCCACCCCGCAGTACATGTCAGCGTCTTCCTTGCACGCCTGCTGCAGGGGCACGTCCAAACTGGGATCTTTCAAAAAGAGAGAGTATAGTATCAGAGGAACGAGGAACCTCCACGGTCCACCCCACCGTCCAGCAAAGGCACCAAGACGAGAGAGCATCATCAGAGGCAGCAGAACCGGCCCCTGGTACCCCCGCTCCATGTTACATGTCCGAGCCGTCCGGCACGCCTGCTGCAGGGTGGGGCACGTCGAGACAAGGGTTCTCCAGTGTGGAGGTGGCAGCCTACGCAGATGCACCAAAGTGCATGCCCGAGCCCTCCCTCAATGCCCCCCCACATCGACTGGCCCTGAGACACTTCAGCACAGCACGTACCTACCTGCATACAGAGGAAGCATGTGCTGGAAAAGAAGAAGAGCTCACTTACACTCCAAGCAGAGCACCTCTTCTCTGCACTCCGCGTTCTGCAGCATTGACATGACACCTTCTCCCACACGGACTTCAGCACCACCCCACCACACGGCTGCCCGGCCACCGGCTGGCGTGCCGCACTTAGGCACTGCACAGCCCTTTTGACAAGCCATACACTCCCACTGCCCTTTGGACTCCCACTCTATGATATCTCCCCTCGAAATAGCACACCTCCTCCCTGCACACCGCGTTCTGCAGCTGGGACACTTTCTCCCACACGCACTTGAGCACTGCCCCACCACACGGCTGGCCTGAGGCACGTGAGCACTGCACGCACGCACCTTTGGACAAGCCATACCATACAAGCTTTCTCATCTCACATGCCTGCATTCGAAATAGAAAGCCTCCGCCCTGCACTCCGCGTTCTGCAGCTGAGACACCTTCTCCGACAGGCACCCCGCCACACGCGCCTGAGACAGTGGAGCTGAGCACGGGCCACACCAGCTTTTGAAACGTACCTCCTTTCAAAGTAGAACACCTCCTCCCGGCACTCGGCGTTCTGCAGCTGAGACACTTTCTCCGACAGGCACTTGAGCACCGCCCCGCCACACGGCTGCCCTGCTGCTGCCACTGCTGCAGCCATGGCACCCTCGGTGCCTGGGGGGGCACACGCGTTCATGCAGAGGTGCTGCACGTCCTCGAAGCACGCATGGTTGAGACGGAAGTTGAGGCGGAAATCTGGTGAGGGGGGGGAGGAGGGGGAGGTGGGTAAAGAGAGCAAGGGAGGGAAAGATTAGAGGTAAAGAGAGCGAGGGAGCGAGTGGGGGGAGGAGGGGTGGTAAGGAGTGTTGGATGATAGGCGTCTGTGCACAGGTGCTGTACGCCCTCGAAGCATGCGTGGTTGGGGCGGAAGTTGAGGCGGAAATCTGGATTGAAAGGGGGGGCGGGGGGAGGTGGGATTTGAAATATGAGGAGTAGTAGGATGTGCCTGGGAGTTTAGTGGGTGGAAGGGAGGGGAGGGGGGGTGTATGCATCGATCCGCAGGTGCTGCACGTCCTCGCCTTCCCTGCTTCCCTCCTCTCACTCACCCTGTGCGCTGCGCTTCTCATCCCTCCCTCTTCACCTCATCAGCACATGCCTTGCCCACCCATGTCTGCATCACTCACATCACATGCCTCTATGAATTCTTGCACAAGTTTCCAACTGATCTCTCACCCTGTGCGCTGCGCTGCTCGTCCCTCTTGACCTCGTCCGCACATGCCTTGCCCATGTCAGCGTCTGCCACATGGTTCTGCAGACACTTCACCATGTCGCTAGCTGTGCGCAGAGGCAGAGACACACACATGCACACAGAGAGAGACAGAGGAAGACACACGTGTACACACACACACACAAACACACGTTGGGGAATGGCGCATGCCTTGCACATGTGTGCATCAGTAACGTAGCCCTGCAGGCACTTCACCATGTTGCTTGCTGTGCACATGCACATCCACATGCACATGCACATGCAAATGCACATGCACATGCAAATGCACATGCACATGCACATGCACAGGCACATGAACGTGCATGGACGGACAGGGACACCGAGAGGCAGATTCGTGACCAGGTTGAGGACATGCGCATGTCGTGCTCGTGTTTGCATCGGCAACACAAGGCATTTCACCTTGGGAGCACAGCCGTACCTTGGGAGCACAGCCGTACCTTGGGAGCACAGCCATACCTTGGGAGCACAGCCATACCTTGGGCACAGAGGCGCTTCATTTCGTCCGTACACGCCTGGCGCATGCCAAACTTGAAGTCAATGTCGCCGGCGTAGCGGATCTCCTGCAATGGCGGGGGAAAAGAAGAGTGAGAGGGACCGGGGAAAGGAGAGACAGCGATGACGGCTAGCTTCATTTCAAATCAACGTCGCCGGCAGAGCGGATCTCCTGCAATGGTAGGGTTTAGGGTGTTGGGTTTTCGCCAGACCGTGCCGAGGAGGGAGCAGCACCCACCTGGTCAAAGAGGTTGGAGTGGCACACGGGGTGCAGCTCCTTGCAAGGTGCATGCTTATATGCACACACACATGCGCCCTAACCCCTGACCCCCTGTGCCCATCTTGTCAAACAGAGCAGCGCAGCACACGGGGCGGAGATCCTAGCACCCTAACCCCCTGTGCCCACCTGATCAAAGAGAGCAGCGCGGCACACGGGGCGCAGGTCCTTGCGGTGGTCCTGCAGGCACGTGAAGACACGGGCATGGCCGCTGGGCACGTCCTTGCAGAGCTTCTCCTGGTCGGCTGGATGGCAGAGCAGCGGGACAAGGGACGAAGGTGAGGAGAACAGACTGAGAGGGAAGAGTGCGATGGCCATGCAGGCACGTGAAGACGCACGCGTGGCTGCTGGACACGTCCTTCCTTGCACAGCCTCTGCTGGTCGGGTGGATAGGGAGAAGAGAGATGGGTGGATGGTGAGGAAGGAAGCATGAGAGGAAGGAAGGAGGGATTGCGGTCGAAGCCAGTTGAAGACGAAGGCATGGCTGCTTGGTGCAACCTTGCACAGCTTCTGCTGGTCGGGTGGATAGGGAGAAGAGAAAGATGGGTGGATGGTGAGGAAGGAAGCATGAGAGGAAGGAAGGAGGGATTGCGGTCGAAACCAGGTGAAGACGAAGGCATGGCTGCTTGGTGCAACCTTGCACAGCTTCTGCTGGTCGGCTGGTAGCGGTGGGAGGGGGAAGAGTATGGGAATATAAGGCATGTGAGCTCTCACGCAAGGCCGCTCGGCACGTCCTTTTCCTTGTACGGCTGCTCCAGGTGGGCTGAGATGGGAGGGGAGAAAGAAGGGGGGAGAGTGAGGGGAAAAGGTGCAAGCGAGGAGAGCCAGAGAGTGTGTGGCCCTTTGGACAAACATGCTTCTGAAACAAGCAACTGCTCGGGCGTCTCTGAAACGGCGTACGGTGTACCCTGAGCCCCAAATTAGCTCACGCTTTAATGAATCGCCGCTGCCGGACATGGCTTACGCTGGCATGCACCGTGCAGGGGATGGCTTACGCTGGCATGCACCGTGCAGGGGATGGCTTACGCTGGCATGCACCGTGCAGGGGATGGCTTACGCTGGCATGCACCGTGCAGGGGATGGCTTACGCTGGCATGCACCGTGCAGGGGATGGTTTACGCTGGCATGCATTGTGCAGGGGATGGCTTACGCTGGCATGCGTCATGCAGGGGATGGTCAAACCGGATGTCCTCTGCCGCCCTCTTGGTGAGGCGATGTACCTGATGGGGGAGAGCGATGGATAGGGGGAGGGAGGGAGGGAGGGAGGGAGGGAGGGGAATGCACAGACAGCGTTAGTCCTCTTGGAGGCGATGGTCCTGAGAGGGAGAGGGAACAGACGGACAGAGTTGGCATGTCCTCAGATGCCCACTTGGCGAGCCGATGCACACCTGACCTGATGGCAGCGAGACCCAGAATGAGGGAGACGCGGAGGCGTGTGATATGAATGAGCTTTGTTTTGAGTCGACTCAAAACGAGACGAGGAGCCACAAAAACAGGGGCGCGCGTTCAGGGAGACAGAAGGAGAGGCGTGAATGTGTGCATGTGTGTGTGAGTGGGGGGGGGGGGTGGGGGGGGAATGTGTGCGTGTGTGTGTGTATGTGGTGTGTGCGTGAGTACGTGTGTGTGTGTGCATGTGTGTATGTGTGCGTGTGTGTGTGCCTGCATGTATGCCCCTATTTCCCCACTCGCCGCACCTGCTGCCGGCATCGTGGGTCCTTGAGCTCCTCCTTGTAGTCCTGCAGGCACTCCATCACCTTGCTGTCCCAGTTCGCCACGTCGCTGATGTCCTCCGCGTCTGGGTAGCACGTCTGGAAGCAACAGGGAGGCGGGGGAGAGGGCGGGGCAGAGAGAGGAGCAGAGAGACTAGATCGTCACATCATTGATGTCCTCCGTGTCCGGGTGGGACGTTTGGGACGTTTGAGCAACCCGGGGGGGGGGTGGGAGGGGGTGGGGGGAAGGGTAAGGGGAGCAGAGAGACCAGTTCGCCATGTCGCTGACGTCCGGGTAGCATGTCCGGGGAGCGAAGAGGTGCAGAGAGATTGAGAGTGGTGCACTCATCTCGACAACGCCTTTGCGTTGCATGGCATCATTTTCTACAATCACCTACACAATAGCAGCATCAACAATATCCTTGCGGCTGTACTCTCTACAGTCACATTCACCACACTCACCTCCACAATGCCCTCGTGGCAGTACTCACCTCGACAATGTCCTTGTGGCAGTACTTGCGCAGGCTGGCATCGAGTCGGAAGTCCACGGCCCTGCGTTCCATCATCTTGTCAAACTCAACCTTGCTGCTCGTGATGTATGCCAACATGCAAAGAAGGCACACACGGACATGCAAACACGGACATGCAAACACGGACACATGGGAGGAAAGGGAGTTTGCACGAATCGGAAGTCCACCGCCCTGCACTTGCAATGCGATGTGATGTGATGCGTGTCACCTTGCCAACACATGGACACATGCACACACACACACGGACATCCACACACGGACACATGGACACACACACACGGACACCCAACACGGACACACGGGCAAAAATAAGGAATTTGCACAAGTCGGCAGCCCATTGCCCTACGCTCCATCATGTTGTCGAACTCCACCCTGCTGCTCGCATTGAGAACACAGCACGGTGCAGGGCACAGCACGGTGCAGGGCACAGCATGGTGCAGGGCACAGCATGGTGCAGGGCACAGCATAGTGCCCGTGACACCATGCCATTGTAGCTCGTAGCACCACACCATGCCACCATGCACACCATACCACCATGCACCTTATACCACCATACCACCCACATGCACACCATGCCAACGTGCCAACATGCTACCATGCACACCACGTACACCATGCACACGATGAATGGACAGCTCACACACGCACATCCACAAACTTGGATGCATATGGTATGGATGGAGCTTGCGCGAAACTCCATACCTTCCACATTGGTTATGATGAAAGCATCTTGTAACTTTGCCACTCCTGGCCTTCCTTTCACCACCCATTCCACATCCTCTCACCAGGTCTGGGGGTTAGGGCTAGGGTTTCGGATTTAACGTTTCGGGTTTTTCACTTTGCTCCTCCCAGCAGTCCTTCACCCTCACATCCCCCTCCCCCATCCCCCCCACCCCACTCCCCAGTCATCAGCAAGGAGGCGGAATGGATGCTTGCCTGCTATCAAGCTGTGTACCTCCTGCTCTCTGTCCATGCCTCACTCACCAGGTCTTGGAGAACTCGTGGTCGGCCCTGTGCTCCTCCAGGCAGTCCTTCACCCGCGCATCCCCGGGCAGCACGTCGGGGCAGAAGCGACGCTTGTCCTCCAGACACGCTGACAGGCAGGCAAGGTTGGAAGATACACATAAGCACCATAAATATCCCTGTGCTCCAACAGAAGCCCACACTGCACGCACCTCGGAACAGCCACACGTTCGGCCGGACGTCACCAGCATTCTCCACTTCCTGCCAAAACCCACAGGCAGTGCACCCTACATCCCAGATCCCAAATCTCACACCACACACAACCCGTATCCCATCCACCCACCCTTAAACAGCACACTGTACATCCCACATCCTACATTCCTGTTCCCTGTTCCCTATTCCCCTAGTCCCCTATCAATCACCCTGCACCCACCTCGGAACAGGCGCACGTTGAGGCGGATGTCATCCGCATTCTCCACCTCCTGCCGGAACAGCTCCGCCTGGCACTCCCAGTTCAGCTTCTTGCGATTGCGGCGCTGGGAGGAGGGGGGGAGGGGGAAAGAGGGAGAGGGAAAAGGGGAGGAGGGGGGGGAGGGGGAAAGAGGGAGAGGGAAAAGGGGAGGAGGGGGGGAAGGGGAGACTTGAGGCGCTTGCAATTGGAAGAGCTCCGCCTGGCACTCCCAGTTCAGCTAATTGTGGTTGCGGCGCAGAGGGAAAAGGGAGGGGCGGGAGGAGGAGAGGACGATAGGAGTGCAGGGTTACAGGAAGGCAGCTCGACTAGTCACGCTTGTTGTGCCTGTGGTACTGTGGGTCCATCGGGAGACAATAAGACGCAGATCTGCTTACAAGGGTCTCAGCAGGCACTCCTGCATGCACGCGCCCCTCTCCAGCGTGCACGTCCCAATAAGTGGTCGTATCCTTGGAGCAGAGCAGATTGAGCTGCAGGTATTGGAAGGACTCGATACCAGCCACTCATTACCCCTAAGCACTCACCAGGCACTCCTGCACGCGCCCATCCCCAGCCTGCACGTCCCCACAGTAAGTATCGGCGTCCTTGGAGCAGAGCAGGTTGAGCTGCGGGTCCATGTGGAGGTCACTGGGCTGCCAGAGACCCACCAGACCGTCACCAGGCAACAGCCGGTAACCCACCAGACGCTCAACGCTCACCAGGCACTCCTGCACGCGCCCCTCCCTGATCTGCACATCTCCGCAGTAAGTGTCGGCGTCCTTGGAGCAGAGCAGGTTAAGCTGTGGGTCCATGCGGAAGTCATCCGCTGTGGGATACACTTTATCCCACCAGCCACCAGCCACTCACCAGGCACTCCTGCACGCGGCCCTCCCCAGGCTGGACATCTCCGCAATAGGTGTCAGCGTCTTTCGAGCAGAGCATGTTGAGCTGCGGGTCCATGCGGAAGTCATCCGCTGCGTCCTCCTGCGCCTCAAACACCATCGCCGCACACGCGTCCGACACACGCCCTGACTCCTTGCTCTCGCTGACGTGGCAGGGAGGGACAGCGGGGAGGATAGGGAGTAAACAGGGGAAAAAGGAGGGGGGGGTCCTTGCTGATGGCATGTCAGACATGTCGCACCGTATCACACACATGCATGCATCGAATCACACACATACAACATAGCATATCCATATCACCCCATATGCCATCACAGGCCAAAAGCACCACTTACCGCAGGCATGCCGCATGCGAGCACGGCGCCAGGCTCAGGGTAGAGGACGCCATCGTCAGAATTACACTCAGAACATACTGTTATCGCACCCTTACTGCAGCCCTTGTCACACCCTTGCCGCAGGCATGCGAGCACTGCCGGGCTCAGGGTAAAGGAAGGCATCATCACAACTACACACACCACACCATACACGCTAACCTGTATTGCCTCACACGCTAGAACTGCAGCATACCGCAGGCACGCGAGCACGTTGCCAGGCTCGGGGTAGAGGAAATCATCGTCACAGAACGAGGCAATGTCCTCCTTGCACGCCTCCACTGGGGGATGCAGTGGGAGATGGGATGAGGGGAGGGGAGAGAGAGGGGCAAAACAGGAGAGCGGTGGGTGATGAGGGGGGGGAGAGGCAAACAGGAGAGCGGTGGGTGATGAGGGGGGGGAGAGGCAAACAGGAGAGCAATGAGGAAGTCATCATTGCAAACTGATGCAATGTCCTCCTTGCACGCCTCCACTGGGGGGGGGGGACAGGGAGGGGAGGGGGGAGTGAGGAAAGGGAAGGGGAAACAACAGACAAAGTATGGCATGTGGAGAGAAGCGGCACACTCACCCACCCCCTGGTTCATGCTCATGTCTCAGCACCGGGCGATCTTGATGCTAGGACGCACACATGCAGCAGTGCTCCATGGCCTATGCATGCAGCCCACTCACCCATCTCCTGGTTCATGCTAACGACTCTGTAGTTAAAGTTGAGGGTTTGTAGCTCGAGTATGCACACACACGTGGCAATGCCATAAGGCAGCCGACAGCACACTCACCCATCTCCTGGTTCATGCTGATGTCCTTGTACAGCGCACTCACCCATCTCCTGGTTCATGCTGATGTCCTTGTACAGCGCACTCACCCATCTCCTGGTTCATGCTGACGTCCTTGTACAGCGCACTCACCCATCTTCTGGTTCATGCTGATGTCCTTGTACAGCGCACTCACCCATCTCCTGGTTCATGCTGATGTCCTTGTACAGCGCACTCACCCATCTCCTGGTTCATGCTGATGTCCTTGTACAGCGCGATCTTGAAGTAGCGAATCTCCGACAAACACTCGGCAGAGAAATCAGGCTCGGCTGGGAGGGGGAAGGGGGTGGTGATCCGCATGGAGATGGGTGCATGGTGTTGATTGAAAGGCACGGGGATGGGTGCATGGTAGGCATGAAGATGGATGGGTGCATGCATTACCATGCAAGGGATGGGGATGGGCATGGCAATGGTGTGCAAGTGGAGTCGAAGGAACTCCGACAAGCACTTCGAAGAGACTCGGGGTCGGCTGGGAGAGGAAAGGGGGTGGTCATACACATGGGGATGGGAGCATGGCATTGACAGGCTTGGTATCGAGAGGCATGGTGATGGGGGAACGGATGATGGTGCACGAGCGATTGACAGTGCCACAGAAAACAAAGAACAAAAAGGGGGGAGGCAGGCCAAAAGAGGAGGCATACAATGATGAGCAAGCACAGAACCATGGGCAACCACGGACGGCAGGGCCAACGATCCCAGCAAGAGAGCATCCAAGCTGAGCGAGTCACAAGGTGGTAGTACAAGTCTAGAAGTCCTTGAGGTGATGCAAGTATAGTTTTGAGGCGCCTCAAAACTAGCGCTCCCATGAGGTCCCAGGCGATTCAACTCCATTCAGCGTCCAGTGAGCCACCCATTGCCAGACTGGCACCCTCTCTTGGGCTCTGCTAGCATCGCCAAGCAGGCACATCTTGTGGCTCAAATGGTCACCTTGGACACCTTTCCGCACACACACATGTGACATGGCCCACCTTTCAATTTCCCAGTCACGGCGAGCTTGACCTGCGGCAAGCTGACGACGCACCACCACCTCCTTCTCACCTGATCGTCTCCTACACCGAGACCTCAAACCACACATGAACTCCCTTCGACTAGCTGCTTCAGAACCCGCATCACAACCCACGTGCCGTCCCTTGCACTGCATCAAGCTCTCACCTTTGACTTTCCCCGCCATCACCATCTTGACATGCGTGCTAAGACAGCGCTCCAGAGAGTCGCGCTCTAAGCTGCTTCAGAACCCACACCACCACCCACGTGCCCGTCCCCTGCAGCACCAAGCCCTCACCTCTGACTTTCCCCGCCATCACCATCTTGACCTGCGTGCTGAGGCAGCGCTCCAGCGAGCGGTTGCCCACCGGGAGGTCGGAACAATAGGCCGCTATCTCCCCCTTGCACGCTCCTGAGGAATGGGGGAGGATGGCCCAATGGGGTGGGCGGATGGCCCGATGGATGGGGTGGGGGGGGGAGTGGGGACACGGGGAAGGAACAAAGGAGCCGTAGTAAGATGCACAGCAGGCTGCTACCTCCTCCTTACACGCTCCTGGCTAATGGGGGGACGGGGCGCGGGGAGGGAGTGGGCACACGGGGAAGGAACACCGAAACCATACTAAGAATCCTCACAGTGGCTGCTACCCCCGCCTTACACGCTCCTGGCTCACACAGGGCATGTCAAAACCCCCTCCCCTTTCCATCCCACCCACTGTGAGGCGTGAGGTCGCGCGTCTCTTTCTCCGCTTTGACCACAGGTTCGTCCGCTGCTGCGTGGGGGCATTGACCAGCCCAAGCCGTCTGCCTGAGTGGCATTGGCCCCACCGACTTCCTCTCCTCTCTGTGCCATCCCCCCACCGTGCCATACCCTCCCCGTGGCATCCCCCACTCTCTGCTACACCGCACCCACCTTCAGGCACGAGGTCGCCCTGCTCCTTTTCTGCCTTGACCACAGGGTCGTCTGGTGCTGGCTGGCTGGGCTTGGCCTTGCCGGCTGCATGCCCACCTTCCTCTACCACAACACGTCTGTGTCACCCCCTCTCTTTCCCGAACCCTATCTCTGCCACACCGCACCCACCTTCAGGAACGAGGTCGCCCTGCTCCTTCTCAGCCTTGGCCACAGGGTCATCTGGTGCTGGCTGGGTGGCATTGGCCTTGCCGGCCGCATGCCCACCTTCCTCTACCACAACACGTCTGTGTCACCCCCTCTCTTTCCCGAACCCTATCTCTGCCACACCGCACCCACCTTCAGGAACGAGGTCGCCCTGCTCCTTCTCTGCCTTGGCCACAGGGTCATCTGGTGCTGGCTGGGTGGCATTGGCCTTGCCGGCCGCATGCACGCACGAGTGCCGCGCTAGCAGCACCGCCAGCAGCAGCAGCAAGGGGCGGAAGGAAGTGCGCCAACGGGTAGCCATGATAGGGGCTGAAGGGGAGACGAAACGCGGTACAGGGAGAAGCACCGGCGGGGGGAGAGAGGAAGGGGTGATTGGCATGAGAATCGGTCACGAAGCAGAGGAATAACACAAATGATGAGCCAGCAGCAACCGCAGCAGCAGGGGCCATACGGAACTGCGTTAAAGGCCAACTATTGTAAGGCTTGGGCGGAGAGCAGGTGGGGGCGGACAACCGTCGGTTGAAGAGGGAAGAAGCTGCGGGCAAAGCGGAACGCGAATCGTCAACGGGCAGAGAGGAGATCCGTCCACAAGCGGAGACGTTCTGAATAGGTCGCGGGGACGACGGGCGAGGTGTCGAAATCCGTTGCTGTGTCGAATAGGCACGTGGTTAAAAGCGTGGTGATCAGGTTACGTGCCGTTTAAAGGGGTGGCGCGGTAAGAGCCGTGCGGTTGAATTTAGACGCGCGTGTGTCGAAGAAATTTGGGTGTGGTGTAGCGGGGTGCAGTGCGGTTAGAAAGGATGCTACTTGTGTGCACAAATGTCATGTGGACTAGTTATGCTCACGATCTCTGCTAACAGCTAAGGCATAGTGAAGCTCGTGAGGATAATATATCGCGGAGGAGGTGTCACGGCTTAGGAAATCGGATCTTAGGAAACCGCCACGGTTGGTGAATGGGGATCAATGGTCCAAGGAGTGAAGGCAGCGAAAAGGACTGCTCTTAAGTCAAGCACCTGAGATATTTGGCCTGCGATGTTCAATTAGACAGGCTCATCAGCACGCCTGAAATCCACGCCACGCCTCGATGGTCCTAGTTTCTTTCGCAATCCAACGCCAGAACCTATTCTTGACGCGGTTCGCCTATCCAGCGATGGTCCTCCTAGTACTGAAAGAAGGATCAGTTTAGTCACGCGCACTCACTCAGAAACAGCGGAACGAGAAGCGCAGCTGCAGCTTCAGAACGACTCGCAGAAAGCCCACAAGCCCTCGTCGCGTAACTCGAGATAGGTGGCAGGTGTGGTAGTGACGACTCACAACACCGCTGCATACGAGGAAACCTGGGTTTCCTGGTCTGAAAATGCAATTGCCAAGTGGCACAGCGGCGACCTCTAGGTCAAGATGCGGGCCCATATCTCAGAGATGTTCAAGAAGAGTTTACATGAGCCTGTGAGAAAAGGACCCTGAGTGTTTTGTGTTTCAACTGCTTGTTTTGTGATGATGTGACACCACAACCTCACGAGAAGTTGCCAAGGGTACAAACTACAATGGAGCTAAAACAATTCCAAACACGCCCTCAATCCGAACCCATACCTAGGATGCTGGAGGCTATTCACCAATCGCAGCACAGCTCTGACGTATGGCACCACCAAAGCTCTACAGCTTTCTCGGTACTTGACGAGATACCTCAATTTCTACAGCTAAATTCAGCCGCAACCTACATCTCCAATAAGATACTCTACTCATAAAAGCTCTTACATTAAAAATAGATTCATTGCTTCGCACAATCACTCATTTAAATTGCAAGTGTGTGCAGCGTCCAAGGAATTGATTTTCCACAAACATACATAAACTAGTTAGTATGTATGTATATATATATATATATAACATGGCATCTAGAGCTAGGTTTAGGATCCAACCCACGCTTCCGCCCTAGCACACGCCCTTACCTAGCGTGCCCCGCCCCTAGCCTCGCGCCTCGTATCTAGCCGTCGCTCTACCCCGCTAGACCCTAGCTGGTCCCATGCTCGGGGCGCCAGCCAGCGCCCATTGCAGCCTCTCCCTGGCTCGTCGCCACTTTCCTTGGCCCCTCTCGCCAGCCCACCTTAGTGCTTCGTAGCCAGCGCCGCCCGTGCCAGCACCAGCCCGCGAGCGCCAGCCAGCTAGCAAGCGCCAGCCAGTGCCAGCTACCGCCAGCCAGCACTAGCACTAGCTAGGCGGCTAGCGCCAGCTAACGCAAGCCAGTGTCAGCCCGCACCAGTGCCAGCTAGCCAACGCCAGCCAGCCGACACTAGCCCGCACCAACGCCAGACAGCCAGCGCCAACCAGCTAGCGCCAGCTAGCCGCCAGAAGTACCTGCTAGCTAGCCGCCAACAATGCCTGCACGCTAGCTGCCAGTAGCGCCTGCCCACTCGGAACCTCGCTGCCAACAGCAAGCCGCCTGCAGCTTGGTGCCAGCTCGCCGCCGCCAGCTTGCCGCCAGCTTACTAGCTGCCACCTTGCCGCCAGCAGCGCCGACCAGCTCTCTGCCTGCAGCACCTGCCAGCTCGCCGCCAGCAGCGCCTGCCACCTAGCCGCCAGCAGCGCCTGCCCACTCGGCGTGAGCTTGCCCCAGCAGCAAGCCGCCTGCAGCTTGCTGCCCGCTCACCGCCGCCAGCTTGCCGCCAGTTACCAACTCGCGGCCAGCTCGCCGCCGCCAGCAGCTCACTAACCGCTGCCCGCTCGCTGCAAGCGACGCCTGCCAGCTCGCTGCCAGCAGTGCTTGCCAGCTTGCCACCAGCAGCACCTGCCAGCTAGCTGCCAGCAGCGCCTGCCCGCTTGGCGCCAGCTCACCCCAGCAGCAAGTTGCCTGCAGCTTGCTGCTAGCTCGCTGCCGCCGGCTTGCCACTAGCTCGCTAGCTGCCAAATCGCAGCTAGCAGGCACCACCAGCAGCTCACAAGCCGCTGCCTGCTCGTCGCCAGCTAGCCGTCGTCAGTTGGGTCGCCGTCAGTAAGGCGCCAGCAGTGCCCGCCTGCTAGCCGCCAGTGGTGCCCGCCAGGTCGCCGCCAGCAGCGCTTGCCAGCTCACTGCCAGCAGCGCCCGCCAGCAAGGCACCAGAAGCGCTTGCCAACTCGCTGTCAGCAGCGCCCAGAAGTGCCTGCAAGCTCGCTGCCAGCAGAGTCTGCCAGCTCGCCGCTAGCAGCACCAGCCAGCTCGCCGCCAATAGCTTGTCAACTCACACCCAACTTGCCGCCTCTTGCTACCAGCTCGCCTCTAGCTAGCCGCCACTGCCGCCTTACGGTTAACAGTTGCCATTGCCCGTCTTCTCCTCGCTGCCTAGTAGTCTACCGCTAGCCGCTACTTCCAGGCCGCTGCTCCGGCCACAACTGCCACTGCTGCTACCTCCCTTAGTGCTTCTGCAGCCCCTAACGTCTCCCACTAGTCTCCTCCTCATTCCTAAAGTTCTTCTACGCCTCTCCTCTCAGTATGACGACCTCGGTGGGGTTTTTCCCTTGGCCGGACCGTCGGATAGTTCCCTTCACTCTTCGGTGTCTCGCTCACCATCTACAGTTGGTAAGCCTGTACGTAGACTATACGCTCCTGGGAGACGACATTATTTCACTCATTGGCTTTTGGCTCCATGATCTACAGGTATGCTACCGGGATGCTTACCCCGTGCAACGGTACCAGCAGCAGCAGCAGTAGCACTAGCAGCAGCAGCCGCGGTGGGGTCTTGGGAGTGTTGGGTCTGGTGAAGGCCCTAGATTTGGGGCCCCGGAACGGTCCCTGCCCTGGGGCCCGCGTGGTTTCTCTGGAGGGCCGGGGGCCTCGAGGACTGGGGTTCTAGGTCCCACTACTGTGTGTAGTCTAGGAGCATCTACTACATGTCCCCTAGACTCCTCCCCTGCCCCTACTACGATGGCCCTTTTCTTCACACTCGACTCTGACTCGTGCCACTGCTTCTTCCAAGACAATACTACTCTCACCCCACTTCTTGCACCCGTATAGATCTCCCTAGCAGGCTCCCCAACCACCGTTCTCCCCTGTCCAAATGTCCCCTCTGGCTCCCTCACAAGTCTGCACACCCCTACGTTTGTCAGCAACCTAGTTTGTGTAGGTCAGATCCAGGATCGAGGACTCACCACCACGTTTTCTGGCTACGAGAGACACGCAGCCTATACGGACACAGCCATAGGCACCCCTTTAGCCACGTTTGAGCATGACCCTGCATCCGGTCTCTTAACGCTGCACACAGAGTCCTCGCTAGTTGTTGTGTCTGTTAAGGTAGCCGCCTCGTGCTGCTTTCGCTCGATCGCCCACCCGACCCTTCTGTGCACCGCCGCTTAGGTCACCCTACACTCCCCTTGTCTTAGGCACATGTCCCAGCACGGTCTGGTCACTTGTCTTCTCGCGTCGCTCTCCGCCCTGCCTGCGTCGGTAGCGCCCCTGTGCAATTCCTATGTGGAGAGTCGGCAGCGCGCCGCCCCTCAATCCTCCTCGTTTCCTCCTACCCTATCATCGCTACAGACAATGCACATGGGCGTCTGGGGTTCTTCCCTAGTCCATGGTCTGAGCAGGGAGCGAATCCTCTTAGTCGTGATTGATGACTTGACGCGCTTCACCACGGTGTTGCCGTTGGAGCGGAAGGTCGACATGCCTGCCGCTCTTATCGCGTGGCTGCTCGTCACCCGCACCCAGCGCTGCCTGCCCGTGGTCCGTCTACACCTTGACCGTGATGGCTACAGTAACATAAACAACTTTTTGTATATTTTGCATTAATTTAGATTTTTAGGCTTGAAGACCACTGTGCATTAAACCTTAATATTTAATGGTGGTACGCTTTGGGAGGGGCACATAATGGATGTGTTCATGACACTAAAACCCAGAATAGTACATTGGATTCAACTCATACTCCAAAAGATATACTAAGAGTACATTCGGACAAATATTTCCGAGGACAGAGAGCAAACTTCGGAACGACATTTTTAGTACCTAGTCCACTGACCCTTGGCCTTGATCACCACCCCCACCCTCCTAGGCATATTGTCTTGGACGTTAGTACAATCCTTGGCAGGGATCTTCTCCCACTCTTCCTGGACCCGCTCTCAAAGCTCCAGCATTCCAGAGGGAGGCATGTCATACTTGGCCAGCTCCCTCTTCAGGTAAGCCCAGAGGTTGAAGTCTTGTGAGGAAGAGGGTCACTCGAGTGCTACATACTTATGCTCTCCAAGTCATTCCTGCTCTAGGCGGGAAAAAAGCTTGGGGTCATTATTCTCATATACAGTAAAAGGACCACAGAGGGGGAAAGGTTGTAGAAATTGAGGGTCGATTCGAGCTTGTCGTGCAAAATGCTAAGATACAGGAGCCTATCCATCTGCCTATCGATCTTGCATATGAACCCAACCCCCGCACATGTCATACATCCCCACACCATCACCGAGCCTTGTCCCCATGATTTACCATCTGTTTGATTTGATGGCACTGAAGGGTTGTGCCTTCACGAATCCAAGCACACGTGCAACCATTGGAGCAGAAACAATTGATCTTGGTCCCTTTTTACCAGATCACATGCTTCCAATCATTAATGGCCCACTCAGCATGCGACTCCACAAATTGCAGCAAGTCCCGGATATTCTTCCAGAACAGTTGCGGCTTCTTCTGCTGCTGCACCGCGACGAGACACGCGGATCCTAGCGTGATTCTTATAGTGCAATGGTACATAGTCGACCGTGCTACGCTACCCTCAGTTTCGCGGCATCTACAGTACAATAGTTTTCACCACTCTGTTCGTGATTTTACCCTACAGCGGTACAACGAAAACAATCCATGATAAGACGAGGCCGATCTGCTAATGGCATCTTTGGCCATACCTCCGCATTCTTAGTCTCAAAGATAACATTCAATCCAAAATTGTGCACAATACTCTTGCCTATGCTCGACTCCTTAGCATTTTTCCTAGTGCTCACCCCCTTATGCAAAAGAGCGGGTCCAGGAGGAGTGGGAGAAGATTGTTGCACCCATGACTTGGTACTCATACGCACGTTAGGAAGACGTGCTGTGAGGAGTGTATCTCGGAGTCGAGTGTAACTAGAGGAAAGAAACGTATAGCGGAGTCCGGTTGAATCGACGGAGGGCAGAGAGGTGAGGACAAGAGGAAACCCGGGGCAGAGGGGCCGCACAAAGTTCAAGGGGGGTCAGAGGGGCGTCACCAAGCGGGCTGGTGACGGGGGGAGCGCTTTTCACTTGGGTGAGAGGAGTAGATGGGGTCAGCACGGAGGGACGGGAAGGCAGTGATTGGCGGAGCTTGTATAGCCTTGGCATGCATGCATGGCATGGTGTATTCTAGTATGTTCTGCATAAGGCGATCAA